GAGTAGCTTTAATGAAGGAGAAGCAGGCCGACTTCCTTGGGGTGTGTGGAAAGAGAGTGAGGCCCGAGGGACTGGCTGAGCTGGAGATGTGAGAAAAGTGACAGCTCCTGAAAAAACGATTCAACTGAAAAAATAAAGAACCCCTGGGTGACACCAGGGCCATGTGACTGTACGACAGGCCAGGACCAGGCATTCTGTAGGTGGTGGGTCCATCTCAGAGCTTGGCCAAAGGGGAGTATTAGTAGGCAATTCAGACACCTTAATTATAATAGGCTCCCCTGCCCGCCTGTTGCCGTGAGCCCTGAAGAAAGTGTGACCAGGAGATAGAATGATAATGTTCTCTTTTATTGTAGAGAATGACATAAAGAAATAGAAGGGAAAATACAGGCATGTAATCCCAAAGGTGCAGAACTTTGAATCTGTCTTCTGTGCGTACATACACATGCACACACAATGTGTAATTCGTGGCCAAATTACGGAAGTGGTAATTTTCATGTGAATTTGGAGTGAGCTTTAAACTCAGTGAAATCTGAGCAGTGCCAGAAAGAATTGTTTGTTAGCTTAAAACATCTGTGATTCACCTAGAATAATGATGTCAGGAAGATTCTGTTATGCAATAGGTTTTGTGCAGGAGAAACTGCTGGATGGCAAGCTGCAGGGAAGGCTTTCTCTCCAGAGCCATGTACCTTTTCATTTCAGGCAGAATTTTAGATGAACTCCAGTGTGGTTATTGCCGAATGATTTATGAGACGTTGATACTCATGGGGAAGACTAGAATTTTTAATAATTGGAAAAGAAGCAAGTCATTTAAATTAGCCTCCAGTTTATCTGCTTAAATTGAACTCATCTATTTAAGCCATAATTGTACAATTTGAATTTCTTCCTCTCTTAGAAATTATATATATATATATACACATATATACATACATGTATATATACATATATATACATACATGTATATATATATGTGTATGTATATATGTGTATGTGTATATATATATATATATATATATATATAAATAAAATATCTTTTCTGAGATTTATATTTCATTTTTTAAACACCTTTCTTGTTTCCCTCTGGGGAGATGAATGCAATGGATGGTCTAGAGCCTGAATTATTTTATTCTTTCTTGTTCTGAAAGAAAAGGCAATGACTTAATTGCAGGCTTAATTTGACATACTTTATTTCTTGTGTATTTGGGAGAAGAATGCCGTTTCCTAGTATTCTTTCATTATTTCCAGTTATTTGGCACAAACCTGGTGACTCGTTGCCCTCTGATTTCCTGGCTGGCTTTGTCGGCCATCTGAGGGAAGGCATGCTGCAGGGGGAGAAGCCTGCCTGAGTGCAATGCCTCTCAGCCCCTCCCAGGAAGGAGCAGGCAGCAGAGTAGAGTCCTGCCCTGGACAGCTGAAAGCAGGAGGCATCTGTGGAGTTTGGTTTCATCTCTGCAGTTTTTATCCTGCTTCCTAACAGGTGGCTAAGTGGTTTTGAAATAATTGTTTCTCTTCCAGTTTTGTCCTTCCGCTTCAGTGCGTCGATGTTGCAGAGATGTTTTAGGTACATTTTCTGGCCTGATAGCGCCTGAAGAAACCATTGAGTACCTCTAAGTTCTCCAGTTATCCAGTTTGAGAAATGTGGCCTTAGAGGATTCAGACTCTCCTAATGGTACCTCTTAGGGTTTTTCAGCTGCTGGCTGTTTGTGTCTGGATGTGTCCGGGTAAATCACATGTGTGGTTTCAGATGCGAGTCTCCTTAAATTACCTGTCGCGCGATGGTTCAAACGACACTGCGGCCTTGCCTTTCTATCTCAGTCCCTTTCATCTGTTTCTTCCCTCTCCCTTGACCGCCACGCAGGCTTCTGTTTGGCACCCATCCACTACGTCTTTGATCTTTCCAGTTTGGTTTCCTTTCTGAAAGGTTTCTCTAAGTGACTTTGGTACTTTTCTGTTCATTACCCTGCACTGGGCTTTTCCTGCGGATGTGAGGTTTCAGCCTTCTCCAGATCATGGCATGATGTTGTCAGACTTTGCGTCTAGTTTGCACTGTGGCAGCCACAGCGCGGTGGCTTCGGGCATTGGAGGTTATTCTCCCTTGTGGAGAGGTGAATGGCAGCTGTGCTTCATGTTCCCTTCCCTCCTACGCAGGTTGGAGATGCAGTCCCTCTCTGAACTCTTCAGTAAAAGCAGTGGCAGGAGGATTGAAGGCCCTGACAAGTGGCTCAGAAGCAGCCTAGGTCACTCACTGGCCACGTCCAGTCCCTCAGGTGGTCCTGATACTGGTGGGCAGGAAGTACGCTCTTTCCTCCAGAGCAGATCTGGTGTCTCCCAAAGCTGTATCTTCTCAGCAGTTCGTATACTCAGGATCAGACATGGAGCTTGTCACATAATAGATATTCTGTAGAGGAAAGACCTGCTGCTGCCTTTGCCAAGTGTTTTCTTGATGGTATTGAGGACCTCATCCTGATTTCAACTGCTTACGTTTATTTTATGGGTCCTCTTCATTGTCTACGTTTACTCGGCTGTTTATTGTTAACATTTTCCCTTTATTCTCTTTCCATGGAAATAGTTTTGTACTATAATATGCTGTCTTGGAAATCCACCACCATTTTTCTCTTTCTTGTAGCTCACGGCCTTTTGCCTTCACATCATGTTTCTGAATGACCCAGCCAAACAACAGAAAGTGGGTTTTGAATTTAAACCATAGAGAGACACTTGACAGGAAGTCAATTATTTAATTTTTGGCTAGTTTTTTTTCCCGTTCTGAATAGAACTACTCTGGTTGAGTTTATATGTTTCACTAAATAAATTAGACTGAAGCTTTTATCTGGTGGTTACTGAGTTTACAGAGCTAGAAAAATAACTTGAGCTTAAGTCAGATACAAAAAGTCTTACCTGAGCATTTCACGGAGTTCATAGAAATACTGTCACCATCACTGAGCTGCACGAGGGCTGTGTGCAGAGAATCCTCATCTAGAATTGCATAGCCTTGGAACAAACACTTCTTTTCAGGCATTCTTTGTATGAATCAATATCTGTCTTCAAATGTGCTGGGCATATTTCCTTTTCTTTGTATCCCCCAAACACTTCAAATGCCTATTGTAGAGCTAAACGTTATCTGCCTTGCAATGCAGCTCTTTTGCTTCAATATTTCTGTTCCTCTCCTGGATTATACTTACCGATGAAGAAGGTCCTCCTTCCTTTCTTTGTGGTAAATACTAACAAATGCTTATTGAATTGCATATGACTAGGTTATATTACTGAAATCAAGATGGACTCGTTCTTTATGCCATCTCTCTGAAATTTTGTCAAATGATTATGCAATTAAAATGCATGTGTTTTGTGTATTTTGAGTAGCAGCATCATGTCAGATATTGTGGGTACCCAGCCATATGCCCCAGTACCTACTTTTCCAAGTGCACTAGGCTGACCAACTAAGAGTTGCCATTGCCAGCGTTGGCAGCTCTTAGCCTGAGGACTCTCTGTGGCTGCTGGAGACTTCTTCACCCCTGTATGGGTGTGCTGGTGAACTGATGCTCCCAGGAGCAGTTCTGGACCAATGGCTGACAGGAGATGGAGGATAAGTGCCTCAGCTTGTCTGTCCTCCACCTTATCCAGAGTGTTCGACGCCATCTCTCTGAGTTCCTCAGTGGGACTGAGGCCCAGTTGCCCACGGTGCTGATTTACCCAATGATGTATCTCAGTTTATCTTTCTTCCTCTCCCTGTCTCACATCTCCACTCCCCTGTTGGCATTTTCTGGATTAATTCCAAATTAAACTACATGCAATGTAATCCGAGTCTCAGAACTTCTAAGGGGAATCCAAACTAAATGAGCATTCATATGTCAAAAATGTCTATTTTAGTATAGTCCAGCAGAAACACAATGCGAAGTACATCTGTAATTTAAAATTTTCAATGGCAGGACCAGCAGTTAGCGGAAAGGCTAATTCCCCAGGGCCAGTCAATGTGGTTCGCATCCCGGACCTGGTGGCTTTAAACTTACGCTGGGTGCATGTGTGTGCGTGCCCAAGATCCCAAGAGGAGAATGGAGGAGAAGGGATTGCGGCATGGCCATCCCCCCTGGGGGGTGATTTCTTGCTTTCTGTCTCTCTGTCTCTCTCTGTCTGTGTCTGGCGAGCGCATATGCCCTATGGCAAAAACCTCTCAAAAAAATTTCCCATGGCTATATTAAATGAAACAAGTGAAACTAATTTTAATAATATAGTTTGGAAGCCAGCAGGTGGTGTGGTGGTTAAGGTGTTAGACTCCCTCGTGGCCAACTGTAGTTCGAGTGCCAGACCTGGCAGCTTGAGGCTCATGCCAGGCACGTGTGCGTGTGTGCCCAGAAGTCCCAAGATGAGAATGGAGGAGAAGAGATTTGGGGCATGGTCATCCCCCGGGTGATGACTTCTCACTTTCCCTGTCTATGGCTCTCTCTGTTTCTCTCTGGCAAGTGCGACACCCTATGGCAAATAAACCTAAAACTAAGAAAATGTGTGTGTGTGTGTCTAAAATACTATCATTTTAACTCATATCTAAAATATTATCATTGTAATATGTTTAATATGTAATCTCTGTAAAATATATCGATGAGGCATTTTCTCTCTATTGCACTAAGTCTGGGAAATCTGTCTGTAAAATACACAATCCGAGCTAGCCACATCATAGTGCTTGCTGCTCGCAGTCACCACCTTGGATCGTTGTGATCAGGGCTCTCCTGCTGTAACTCGTGTGTCCCATTTGCAATATCCGGCAACTCTTGAATATAGGAGGCTGTAGCAGGGTCTCATTTCCTACAGTTAGCAAAGTCTCCTCTTGTTTATGGTGAGCGAATCTCTGTGGGCGTCTAGACTGATGTGCGTTTTTAGTCTCTATGTTCATATGTTTGTTTTCTCGAGAATGAGCCTCTGACAACAGTATCTGTGAAACTGACTGCTGCTTACATCGCATGCAAACCGTGGACGAGGTGTTTAGAATCTCTTTGCTTGTTTGTTTTTTTCAGGCAGAGGGGACCAGACTTCAGCGAGAACTCCGAGGCTATTTAGCAGCAATCAAAGGTAATGTGTGTGAGTTGTTTACTGCGTGTTACCAAGCATAGGTTGTTATTGCAACTGGTGAGTGACAGGGTTGAGTGTTAATTACAAAGCCATTTAGCTTCCTGGGAAGATGGCACTTGAACACAGGTGTTCCATTCCACCCACCCTCAAATTCCCATTGAAATGATAATCAGAGCATACAAGGGAAAAAAATATGTCTGCCCTTATGCTGGAAACTAGGAATAAATGCCACTCTCATGCAAGAGATTTCTAGGAAGATTTATTAGATCGAGTGAGCTTGAGGACTGGTATTAGAAAAGCTGCAGCTGATTTAAATCCACAGGGAGAGCATGTCCCAAGAGTAGAACACTCAGAGATTCGCACCTGAGCCCGCTCACTGGAAGGGGCAAGGAATGGCCACAGAGCCGGGCAGAGGGTTATCTGTGACCGTGGCCTGTGGCTCGGGTAGACCAGCTGTACGCACAGCCTGTCATATTCAGTGTGTGGGAACAGAGAAGCCTTGGGTTGGTTCCTGGATCCGGCCATATGAGACAAAGAAATAAGGCCAGTGGAGGAGAGTGAGAAAGCAGCAGAGGTGTGCTCAGCCTGTCTCTGCTGTCCGTCATGACCACACTGCCTGCACTGGATCCGGGCCCAGTGTGCCCACAGTTTGATGTATCACCAGCCAGATTTCGAGATTCGTGGGGGAGAGGACGGGCCACCTGACAAACAATATTGGGAAAGCTGGCCAAACACTTAGAAAAGAGTGAGATGCCCAACCTCGCACCTTACTCCCTCCTTCCCAGTTCCAGATATAGGAAGTATTTAAATATGTATACAGAGAAATGTACTAAAGTACTAGAATAAAATTTATCCTCTAGTCTTAGGTAGACGCGATCCTTTATACCCAAAAGGCAGGAACCATAAAGATAGAGGACTCAATTATGCAGAATAAATGTCCAAAAATATCATTTTGATGACATATTTAATAAAGGTAAACCAAAATATGAAGTACTCAGGGAATAAACTACATGATGATCAGTTGAATAAATAAAAAAATGGGCAGAATATGTGAAGAGACCATTAGCCACAGAACTATAGGTGGGTGAAAAAATGCTTATCCTCACAAATAAAGAGTATTAAATAAAATCCGAAGAAGACGCCATCATTTTTCTTTCAATCGTTTAAAGACAAAAACAAACAAATAAAAACAAAGCCTACTTCCTAGTATCAAAAAAGCTGTGGGGAGTGGGCCCTTCTGTGTTTTGTTGGTAGGTCAGCTTTTCTGGACAGCAACTTGGCAAAAGCCTTTAAATGAGTATTCTTCTTCCTTTCTTCTTTGTCATCGTTGTCCTCCTCCTCCACCTCCTCCTCTGCTGCTGCTGTTTTTTTTTTTTTTTTTTTTTTTTTTTTTTTTTTTTTTTTTTTTCTTTTT